TCCCACCCCGTCGCGCTCCACGTCGCCCTGACCCGCTCCATCCCCCCCAGGCCCACCACGACCGACCCTTCCAAGCCGCCCATTGTTCGTCGCAGAGGCTGCGAATTGCGGTTTCGCAATTCTCGCAAATCGCCGCAGTTCCTGCGTGGCGCGCGCGGCGGCGTTTGTCCGCTTAGGGGCCTGGAAACGCGGCGAAGGAGCGAAATTATCTGCTTGCCGGAACACTTGCAATGGGCTAACCCACTTTCCCACCGCTTATGCGACACTCACAAAGGCAGAACGAGAATGAATATTCTCTGCAGGGGTTTGCGAGAGGAGTTACGTGGATATATTGTAGGTAAATGAGATTTAATGGCTTTATTACGAGAAACCTACCTGCGCTTGGGAAGGAATACCGACAAACGGAAAGTACAACCGTAAAAATGTTTCCAGTCATTGAGAAATGGGATTGTTTTTCTTGTGGCATTTGTTCGCAGCATTTACATTAAAGTTGTCTTTCTTAATTCTGAAGAGATGTATTTTTTTTATTATTGTGATTTATGTTTTATGGTACATGTTTGAGTTATCTACCGTTATTCATACTTCATGACTCATTTAAAGTTATATCATTTTATGTTTTCCTTTCTTCTGTAAAGCACAACCTGTTTCGGCTTAAATTGATGTTCTCTGAATACGACTTCTGAGAATTGTCGGAAACACTAGCTATTTATTTTCAACGGTTCTCAAATGACTTGTAATTCTTCTGTTAAAGTTAAGAGAAGTAAACATATTAAAAGAAAACAATAATCCTCTTCGATTATCAAAGTCAAAGATGACGTATTCGCTGGGTATAAGCATAAAAATGTATTTGATCAGACGTCGTTTGTTCTCATATGTTGCACTAAATTTCTTTAAAAATATTCAATTGAGATTTTATGCAACATTATTGAAATGAATAAATTCATTTGTACTGTAATAGTTCATGAAAAGCATGTGCTTGTACAATGTTTGTCAATTTACTTTTTGTTAGAACTCATATCTGTATTTTGTACACATTTAACCTCAACCATGATCAATAAAACAAATGTATTACGATATAAAGTGCAATTATCCCGTTCAGTTGGCCTCTCACCTTCTTACCTGGCTCCCTTATTTTATGCTTTTTCTCTTTCACGTTTTCCTTCTTACACGATATTTTGGCACCTGGACAAGATCATTTTTTACATAACTTTTCTATCCTATTTTTCACTTTTTCTGTTCAGTTATGTCTTTTGTTTCTTTTCCTTTTTATCTTTCTGCTCGTTTTCAATATATTTCTCTTTTCGCTTATCAACCCCACATTCCTTTCATTCGTCGCTTTCTTCTTTCCTCGTATATCCTCTCCCGTTCTTCTCTCTTTTAACACTCATTGCATCTCCGTGTTCGCTTTCCCCTCTTCCTCGGTTTCTCCTTTCCGTTTGTTCCCTCTTTCCCGTTCTTCTTTTATATTTTTTTCACCCCTCTGTCTCCCTTGCTGGCTTTCCCCCCTTCATCACTTTTCCCTCTTCCTTTTCCCCCTCTCTTCCATTCTCTCTTTCTCTACTTCCTTTTTTCCCTTTTCATCTTTACTTCTTACTCCCATTCGCCTCTACTTCGCTTTTCCCTCTTCCTCCCCCTCTCTATCTCTCTCTGTAACCTCCTCCTTTTTACCCCTTTTCGTCCCTCACTCTCTCCCGTTCTCTCTTTTTACGCCTCCTTCCTTTTTACTTTCGTCGCTCTGACTTCTCTTTTCCTTGCTTTCCTCCTCTCCTCTCGCGAGCGTGAGACCTATCTCCCTCATCCTGCTCTATTCAACGCACGCGTCTGTCATTTCCCACTTCTTCCTTGAAGTTGGAAGTCCCTCTTCGGTCCCTCCTCTCTTCCCACTCTCTCTTTTCCCTCTTCCTCACTTTCTCCTCTCTCCCTTTCCCTTCGTAATGCTTTCCCTTTGTCCCTCCCTCTCTCCCTTTCTCTCTTCTCCGTCTTCCTTTCTTCCCTTTCCTTCCCACCCTCCCTATTGCCCCGCTCTCTTTGCGTGCCTTTCTGTGTGCGAGCCTCGCGCGCCGCCTCAGCGACAGGACAGCGGCGCACCTACCAGCAGAAGCTGGCGGCGGCGGCGGCGCAGCAGCAGGCGCCGCACGCGATGCAGGCGCAGCCGTCGCAGGCGGCGCACAAGCAGTGGGAGGACCCGTGCGCCGACGACAAGATCCGCACCACGCCGCACGTGGAGTACTGCGACCGCTACTACGCGTGCGCCGACGGCCAGCCCGTGGAGGTGGACTGCCCCAACGGCCTGGTGTACGTGGGGCGCGGCCTGAGCGGGCCCTTCGACGGCGTCTGCGACTACGCCTTCAACGTGGAGTGCGCTGGCCGCGAGAAGCGGAGTAAGTGCCCCCCACGGGGCGGCGGGGTCCGTTCGGTCGGGCGCCGGCGGCGCGGGCGCGCGCCGTGGCCACACACGCTGCTGGCAGGCTCTGGTGCATGGAATTGTTTATTCTGATTGGGAAGGCAGTACAAAAATCTGCATTCAGTGTTATTCCAACACGAGTCAATGTAACGGCAGTCACTTTTCCCACTGGTACGCTGTCCAGGTTGTAAAAACGTGACTTCATTCGACTAGCATTCTGGCTATATTCAACTCCCATTTTTCAGGGTTATAGCCTTTATCGACAGTAAATATGCATTTTGGGAAACCGTTTTATAAAAAACATACTATTCAAAATTAATGCATACATTTATTTCAAAAGAGGCACACTAGATACTAGTACTTATGGACGTGTCAGTAAATATTTCAAGACATTATGTGCTTCCTTGAAATACTTGTAGCTTAACTCACTACTTCTTTGATTGCTCACAAAATTCTTGTCGGACCATTTTTCCCCCATAAAATGCAGTGACTGTCTCCTTTCCAAAATAAACAGTTCCACGACATGATTAATCCCCAAGCTGTGTTGGGCTGCCACCAGAGAAAGGTTTTGATTGCGTGTCGCGCCACTGCGCAGCGCTGGGTCGCCCTCCGCGGCAGACGGCGAGGCCTTCGCTCGACGCCGGTGAGCGGATCTCGGATCCGGGACCCCCTTTCGCATTTCTCGCAGGCGGATGCACGGCGCGCGTCCGATCCAGAAGGCTGTTGGGGAAACGGCGTTGGGTAATCGGACTCCGCAGATAGCATTGAAATTCGCTTTTGTAAAGGTTACGGTGATGAAATATAAATCGAAAGATATAAAAAAATGTTTTGAGAAAAGCCGGAGAAGGGAATGTCTTAAGCAGTTGGTGCAAAGTTGTAGCTCGTTGCATCAGAAATGTTAGGAATTTATTTTTCTGAAGACAATACCAAGTTTTTTGACCGAAAACATTCAGTCTTTTCGTGAGTAGTATAATAATTAGTTACCGACCACAATGTGGATCATTAGTGCAAGGAATATTTTTTTTTAAATTGACATCTAAAACGCGTTTCGTGACTAACAGGTTTTACGGAATTCAGATAGTAATGATTTTTTGACGAGCGTAATTTTCCGAGCAGTTCGTGGTTTTAAACTAATGTAAGGGTGTGCATTAATGAGAGGAAAATATTTTTTCATTAAATACGAATAACAAAAAGAACCCAACATTTTCCATACGAAATTGAATCATTCCGTTGTTAAACAAGTGTAAAATCACCAGAAGGCAATGCTGGTATTCTTTGAAATATAAAAGTATGACCTAAGCACAAAGAAGGGACAAGAAAATATTTTATCACTTCAATCGTTGTAGCTCTCGTTGTCAAAAATACGAACTCTGTGGAACAGAATGGCGAATATTTTTTGCAAATGGACGATCGGTTGTGTATTCTGGAATTATCTGATTGTCGTAGCGTCTGCCCTGCCCAAAAGAAAACAAAAATATTTTTTTTAAAAAATAAATATTTAAAAAACATTTTCCGGTTAAAAAGAAACCGAAACCCCGTCGAGGAAGGCCTCGCGAAGTGCGCGTGGCGGAGGCGAGCCCCAGCGCGCCCGCCCGCCGTCGGCCGGCCCGCCCGCCGCGCCAGCCCACAGCGCGACTGCTTCCCGCCCTCACCCCCCCCCCGCCCGCGGGCGCTCGCAGGCGCGGCCGCCCAGAAGCAGACGCAGGAGGACCCCTGCCAGCTGAAGAGCCGCGTGGTGGGCGACGCCACGTACTGCGACCGCTACTGGGAGTGCGTGAGCGGCCAGCCCGAGCTGTACGACTGCCCCAACGGCCTCGTGTTCGCCGGCAAGAACCGCGGCGTCACCGAGGGCTGCGACTACCCCTGGCGCTCCAACTACTGCGAGGGCAAGCAGCTGGCCAGTACGTCCTCCCGCCCGGACGGTCTTCGCTCGCTAACCGTCTCTCGTCTCTGTCTCTTCCCAGGATGGCTGGGGTGCATGGCGGCGACTCCCCTGTCTCTTTTCTTCTGGCCATTTGCCTGGCGGGTCGCCGCATGTTTGTGTCGTTTTCTCTAATCAGACTTTCTTTCTCTGTGAGTTTTACTAATAATTGTTTCTGAATGTCAATACTAATGTTTTCTGAATGTTAATACTAATGCCATTATTTAACTCTAATTTATTGCAACACTCCACTAAACTGTTTTTTTCTAAATGTGTATTTTCAACCGAGCATGTTTAAACTTCTTCAAATTCTTTGTCACTGTGTTTAACCTAACAGCTTCTGTATTCTATTTTGAAAGGATTACCTCGAACTCTGAGAGGTTTAGGGAAATAAATTATTCCCGTCTCGCTAACAAAAACGTATAAATGTTAATAAAAAAATTATATTTAATGTGAATGCAACGTGAAACCTTACTAGACTGTACATTCTAGCGTCGTAATAGTCAGTTTTAATTTAAATAATTATTTAATTAATTACTAGTAAATTAATTGATTAATTAACTTTTAATAACTCATTTCTCAGTAAGCAAGTATATCTAAAGGTAACTGTTATAATAGCCTTTATGGAAATCTTTCTAATAACATTAAAGATTGTATTAGATTCAGGTATTGAAGCTTACTTGTTGAAACATTTTAATTCGAAAATCTGTAAAAAAAACAATAGCATAGATTATACTCAAAAAGTGTAGCTCCGAAACAAATCCTGTAATGACCCAAGCACCTTCTGTGACGCAACCACTGATTCAGCGTTGAAAACAACGAAGAATGATCTCGATCCCACGGTACGCCATCAGTCAGTTTTATCAACCGGTTTCCCTTTTCATCGTAGAATATCGAGGCTAATTTTAACCCGCCGCCTCCGCACACGTGCTGCTCAGCGCGCCCCGCACGACGCGCGCTTTCTCCGCTCCGGATCGCTTCTGCGACGAGCGGGACCCATAAAATACGCGGCCGCCACTGCTTTCCTGGTCGTTTGGGGCGGGGCCCCGCGAAACCCGCCCCCCCCGGCGCACAATGCTCATAATGAGGTCGAAAACGTAATGAGGTCTAAAAGGGGGGAGAAATAAATCACGTAAATAAATATGCAGGGTGGCCAGGAAGGAAACAAACGAAACTTCGAAAATCAGCTCTTAAGTTAATTTTAAACATTTTGTCTAATGAACTCTTTGAGATATTAAATGGGTGAGACGCAATAACCACTCAAATTTGTTTTGAAAAAAGGCCATCTATGCGTTATTATTTCAGAAACATGTAAATACTCCAGAAACATGTAAATTGTTTATTATTTACAAAATAATTGAATGTATTTGTTCACACAACACAAAAAAACACAAAAATAAAAAGGGGCAAATTTATACATTTCAATATTTTTTTTATTTCAATGTTAATTTTGTTAATTTTCGTTGTTTTTTCGTTAGACACTTTATAACAATATAAGGAAAGCATTGCTTAAAATCAATAGCCTCAAAGTGCGGAAGTTTTTGATAGTAAAAAATTGGGAAATTAACTTGCTAACTGGAGAATGCATTGTCGATTATAGATAACAATTCCTCTTGTGACAAATTTGCATGTCTATCAGAGATAAATTATCTGCCAGGTTTTATGCACATTCTCATATCTTATTACATTACATTTATCGCACTTCGATTATTTCCAGAACATGCGTGGTATTTTGATAACATCGTTCAATTTAAACCGTATTCATTTCTGGCCATGGAATGAACGACGTAAACGGAAAACAAATAAAAAACAAAAAAAAGTACTAATCCGTGAAACTGCATCAAATATAGCACTGCAAGACGATGACGTCGTTTAACAATGTTGTTCGTTCAACGCGTCATCCGGGAAAGATTGTGAAACTCAAGCATTAAATTTAATGAGGCAAAAATTAAAAAAAACTGATATTATGATTAAAGCATTTCTAAACTGTAGTTTTATATTTATATATAATTTAATTTTAAATATATAATTAAAATTTAATTTTAAACTTTTGTGCTGGGAAAGGTTTTTATACGAAAAGTTTACTTGGCTATCGCAGAAAACGAGCCTTATGGGTTTCTGTCGTCCTATCGTCGCGCTGCGCGGCATGGCGTCTTGAGATGTGTCTTGCGAAACGCGCCGATGTGTGTCAGTTGCCTGAGCACGTTCCTGGGCCGTGTGTGACACGGTGGCGCTCCTCTGCGAGAACGCCGCGTACTTTCCAGTAGCCTTCGTGCAACAGCCAGTTTGAATCGTCGCGGTTTCCCAGCTTCTTCCAAGTTTCTGTGGGATTTCTTTGCCTGTAGTCGTGAGCGCCGGTGGAAATCGTCGGAAGGTGCTGGAGAAAAAATGAGCTCTGATCGTGTCGGTCAAGTGAAATGAGTTTGGTGCACAATGAATTTTGGAGAAATGCATATATTCTAGAACTACAGCTCAGATGAATAGGTAAACAAATTTTTTTTCACAACCATAACGAAATCACACTTCTGTCGTTTCTTGCAACCGAATCAGTGTAGGAATTTCTCGCAAGTGGTCTAATCGAAGCGTCATCTCTTACTGTCAACAGTTGTTGATTTTTATTTCAAATTAAATGTAAATGTTGCGGTTTGATAAATAAGATAAATGTTTTTGTCGTGACATCACATATGATATGCCACGATTAAGGCAAATCTTTTTTTCGAAAAGGTGAAAACTTGATTCTAAAAACTTTTTATATATTGGAAGAAGTGAAATTTCGAACCAATTTAAGGACCCAAATTTTATTGATCATGATTTTAGTTTTTATACTTCCAAACATACCAGAGTTTTAATGCCAACTTCGTAATAACATAATCACTTGTTTAATGCATCGTCCTATCACCACATCAATATCTTCCTTCAGGATAGCATAATTTAGTTTTTCTCACCTCAAAATACTTAAATAGTAACTTAATATTACCGTTGTTACTATTATTATTTAATGCAAATTACCTCACAAATGCTTTAAATAATGTAATTAGAAAATAAATTTCACTTATCGATGGTAGGCTTTAATCTGCATACCTTTCATACTAATACCATTTCTGTTTCTCTTTATTTCAGACTTTGTCATGAATGTGTATTATCTCTTACTTTCGTATGTTTTCTGTTATGTGTCTAATATTTCTGCCTAGACTGAATGAAACTTGGATTTTCTTCCTGCCTTTGATACACGTCTCTTGACAGTTTTCTTTAACTTTCTCTATGACTGTATCATGTTTCATTCAATCTAGGCCAACACTCGTAACATTCTTTTTTTTCAGTTAATTCTCTCTACGTTTCTCTTATTTTTTTCAGACACTCACATAATTCTTTAACAGTGTTTTCTCCGCATTTTCTCTTAACTTACATGTGATTCTGAATGTGCATGCACTTTAATCTTGTCTTCACTGATGTTTGCATGGCGCTCTCATGAATGTTTTAACCGGCATGAAGCAGAGCGCTGATAACAACTTAACCACACGCATGAGAATGAGATACGCATTTGAAAATACGCCGAGTCGTGAGGCGATGTCGTTGCACCGAGCGCTTTGCTGCAGATCCTCCGATCTCCACGGAGCATTGTGACTGGCTGTACGGCATCTTCGGCCACGAGACGTCGTGCACGCGCTACTGGACGTGCTGGAACGGCACGGCCACTGAGCAGCTGTGCATCGGCGGCCTGCTCTACAACGAGGATATGCACTCGTGCGACTGGCCCGAGAACGTCGACGGCTGCCAGAAGCACCGTGAGTTCACAATGCGCTTGGCCGTGCAGAAGCTGCGTCCGCCCGGAGCTGCACCGTTACAGAACGAAACAAGTCCGAGATTAAATGTTTTAAACGGATATTGTCACAAATTATATTTCCAAAAATAATGTTCGAAGAATGAGTTTAATATGTATCATAAGGCGATAGAAGAGATATGTTTAATATATTAACCGCAATTATTTAAAGATTAATTACTTAAGCATTTCCTACATCCGTCAGTTTTGAAGCCTAGTTTGAAATCAAACGGTTATTGAGTAAATTCCTTTTTATGACAGTAATTAAAGTATTGGGTATAAAAGGAAAATTGCAGTGTATACATAAATATTTTCCAAAACTCTTAAGCCTTGGAAAATTTAAATCAATTAATTGATGCAATCAAAGAAACGACCTTAAACTATTAGTGAATGCTTTCCAGATACAAGTATTTTAAATATGTGAATCACGTATATCTGAATACTTTTAAAGTACATTTATTTGTCCTTTAAAATTATTGTTGTTATAACACTGAGTTATAATGCTGAAACTCATAAAATATTAATGTTAATAAAATCGAGTAAAATTTGGTGAAAAGCGTTCTAGTTAGAAAATATATGTCGGAATGCTTAAATGTATAAAGTATATTCAAATGTTAAAAAAGATAAATAATATAAAGAAACAAATAAAAATAAAAATACAAATAGACTAGTACAGTAAACCCTCATTAACGCGAGGTCATGTTACAAAAATTCACGGTATTCGATCATTATAAGTGACCGTGTTACTGTAATTCCTTGTGGGGAACCAATGTTTCCTCGCGTCACGGCGAAATTCGTGTCAAGCGAGTTCGTGCAAACGAGGGTTTACTGTATAATAATAGATAGAAAGTACCCATCTCTAGTTCACACTAATCTCTTTACTTCATTCCATTTCACTGCATCACCCTTCGGTAACACGTCGATGAATAATAATTTATTACCAAGAGAGCATTCTTAAACTGCCCGTTCCAAGCCAGCGGCGTGACTGCGTGTGTGTGTTCCATGCGCAGCGCTGTGCAACGACGACGCCAACGGCAACGTGCCGCTGGGCAAGTCGTGCAACCGCTACTGGCAGTGCCAGGGCGGCTACCCGCGCCTGCAGCGCTGCCCGGCCATGCTGGTGTTCGACCGGCGCTCGCTGCGCTGCGTGGTGCCGCCCACGGAGGACTGCGAGGTGCCCACCACGCAGGCGCCGCCGCCCGAGGAGCTGGAGCAGGACAACGACCAGAACATCCCGGCGGGCGGCAACGCGCGCGGCGCCAACACCCTGCCGCCCGGCGCCGTGCCGCTGCCGCTGCGCCCGCGCCCCAGGAACTGAAGCGCCGCGCCGGCCCGGAACTGACGCGCGGCGGGGGTGCGTCGGGACGGCGGCGGCGTGACGCCGCGGGGATGGTGCCCGAACACCGCTGAGGCTCTGGCCACGACACTGTTGGGAAATGGCGGTTTTTGTTTTTTTCACTCGGATGCCTCCGGTGTGCTTTCGGCGGGTTTCGCTTCTCGGCGTGTTGGAGCTTTCTGGCCGTTTCGTCTGAACACCGTCGGAGCATTGAAGGTGTACCGTCGGAGCACTGTCGAAGCTCCGTCGGAGCACCGTCGGAGCACCGTCGGAGCACCGTCGGAGCACCGTCGGAGCACCGTCGGAGCACCGTCAGAGCATCGTTGGAGTACCGAAGGAGCATCAAAGGAACTGCCGGAGTATTGCTGAAGCGAAGTCGGGGCTCCTTTAGGACACCTGAGGGTCTGGATGAAAACACGTCATCTTCATGCCTTCTACAATATTCTCTCGGCCTAGTCGTCCTTGGCATTGCAAGAATAGCCTCAACCTCGCTGGAGCATCTCAGCAAGACTGCAAATTCTTTCTAACGGTGTCGTTGCAACCTCTGGGTGGCATCGGGACATCCTCGCGGTGGCGCGCACGCTCTCCACGGCGATCAGACCGCGTGGCGTCTCCGCAAAGGACTGCATATTTCGTGTGTTCGGGGACTATTTGTATTCTGAATACATCTCGTCTTTTCGTACTGTGTCAGCCCCTGGCTGCTACAGGAAGGCCCAAAGGGGCAGTGCAGTTTCTCAAAGAACGTGCACTGTGCACTTGACACTGCTCCGCGGCGTCTTTCTGGAAGTTCTTTGCCTTTTCACTCCATCCCCAAGGCCTTGATGTATCCTCCATTTTAGAACAAAAGCCACGTGGATGTTTCTCGATTGTTTGTTGTCATCTGTTCCTCAAGAAAGTCAAGTGAGATAAATCGCCTTATAATTTATTGGTCTCTTATTGCACTAGAATCTCTTTGTCACCATTAATGTCAGTGCGTATCTGAAATGTGACTTTTTGTTCTGAAATGTAGAATCGTTTAAGGACTTTCCGTTCACTGAATCGTTTTCGATTCAGCTATCTCCCTCTGTGTATTTTACTTCAGAAATAATTTCATATCAGAATATTATATGATTATGACTGCTACTGTTACCAAAAATGTTTCCTCTACCCGTACACCCCTGTTTATACAGAATCTTCGTTTTATCTGTTATTACAACTGTCAATTGTGAATAGAATTTAGTTGTAATTTTTTGATATTTTAGTGTAGTCTACATCAGATTATCTTATTGATGAGAAATGTTTGCCAGACTGTTTGTTATTTAAATTGTGTTTTTGAGACCTTTCCAAATCATGAATGTCCCAAATGTTTTGTATATTTTACAGTTTTTCTAAAGACTGACATTGTTAAAATATATCAAAATGCCTCCATTGTTCTTAATTTCAATTTTGTGGTTCAGTGACTTTACGAAGTTAAAGTAGACACACCAAGAGTTAATATTGTGTACCGAAAATGAAATAATATTAAATAATTATTTTATTTAATGTGCATTTTTAAAACTTTTCCCTTCCAAACTCAGTTTGCTAAATAAGTTTATCTACACTGGAAGATAATGTTCTTTCCAAGTCGAAAGACTGAATAATAATTTATGGCTTGAAACGTATCTCTTATAGTAAGTTCAACATTACCTTCTCCTGACTACTAAGACAGGATTACATAGTTAATCATTTCATTCTGTTCATTGCAAAGTATACGAGTACGATCAATACGTTTTTCAAAGTATTTTTCAATTCCATTATTAATGTATATATATTTCGAAAAAGTGTAGAATTTGTTATAGAAGAATACAAAGAAATGGCACCTACACAACGCATTTCCGCATTTTTGTCTAAATACTTTGCATATAAACTAATGTTCTGGGATTGTTTTTGCATGCCTCAAAAGTTCCTCGATTTTTCGAAAGTTGCGTTCTTATAACTAATACGCATTAATTAACTCATCTATAACTAGACATTTTACAGTAATTGTGACCTCTGTGTTATTTTTATAAGGGTAAATATTTTATGTATGTATTGAATTGATAAAACCTTACATTTAGAACAGTAAGATACTAGTTTACTACATCACTATTTTTCCTACGATTAGCCCTGGGAAATTAATGATAGAATACATTATTTACACATTTTCATAGCCTCTGAAGTAATCATTTGTATCTTCCTTAATTATATATATTTTAAATACGAACAAACAATTTCTCCCGTTGTGGGTTGCAACCATAACAGAATATAACAATACATTATTGAAAACTTTACAAAAAACGCTTATGATGAGATCCAGATAGTATTCGGGTATCAAAACGTTGCAAGGTGTTGGAAATGAAGAGAATGAATCTTTCAAAAAGATGTTCTGACAGCCCAAAGTTCATATTATGAATTATTTAAATATATAACACGAAATAGTAAATTACAGTATATATTTTCTTTTATAACAAGTATGTTTGTTAAACTTCATTTATATCATTAAAATGCGTTCTTCACTTTTAAGCTATCAGCGGTCAAGAGAAGAGCTGATTAATATTTTATAAATCTAGTGGAAGTACCTGGCGTTTTCTGATTATTTATTCCAGAAGGTAGGACGTTCAGGCACTTATTTTATGTAAAGTACGCAATCAAAAAACATTTTCTGTCTTCAAAGGGTACAAAAAGTCATGGAAAATATGACAGATGCGTTTCAAAGAGACTAAGAGGTCAAATAATTTTAAAATTCTCAGCATTTCATTCTAAATAATAATTAACATTAATTGAAAAAAATAAATTAACTAATTGATTTTCAGTACTTGAATTAGTGTAATCACTAGCACTGAACCGAGACTTATCGTGTTAGGTCTAGGTTCAGTGGCTCAGTCGAGGCGTCTGCTCTCGAAAAGATGTCGGAGACTAAGGATAAAGAACTAGGGGATAATATTACTAGTAGCTTAATAAGCAGTCGCAAGAAGACATCGGTATTAATGAAGAAACCCACGAATATTGTCTATAACTATATATTGTCTATATTATTCAACATGGAAGAGCAGGTAATTAAAAAAAACTATCTTCAATATGGAAGTGGTAGGAAGACACCGAGAAAATTGTGAACTTTTGCAGTTTTCGAAATTTCAGAGAGTTTAACGAAAATTGGACCTGCAAAATTTTTATAAGCGTTTTTATCCTGTTCGAGAAAAAAATTGACATTGATGCTCATTTTTGAGAACATATGAAAATATCCTTGAGACTTTACGTAAATTACCCGCAAAATTTGGATTCAGTAAGAGACTCACAAAATGAGTTTTCTGTCGACAAATCACCATTTTTTACTGCAGTATTTACGCAGCGAAAACGTACTATAAGATATTTCCTTAAACATCGGGTTGTTCTCGGAACTATTATATTAGAAAAAGGAACGAAGTCTATATGCATTGCGCTCTATTCTGTTCCATTCCGCTTTGCCTCATCCCGAGCGATCCCAGCATCACCCTCCCAACCTCACACTGCGCTCATCCCCTCGCTGTTGCACTCCGAACTCCCCACCATGTTTGCTACGATCATCGGTGGTAAGGGTAACTGAGTTGCTGACTACAGATGCATTGCCGTAAACATCCGGTAACAATTTTGACCTTCAATTACTCTAAACCTAATTGCGCTATCGGAATCAATCGTGTGTCATTTTTAAGGCTTTTAAAAACGTATCCACTTTGATAGATTTCCTCGCCTGGTTTTTCAGATATTCGAAAATCTGTAAGCGTTTACTCTTTTATTTTGGTTTATGGGATAGGAAAGGATTATGGAGATAGTTTTCACGAAATAAAATGAAAACAGTAACTTTAGTCGTTTTGGAAGTCGCGTGAACGAAACTTCATTAAGTTACGAACGAATATTTTCATTAAGAACAGCTTTTTATACTCGTATAATCGAAAAACAGCCCTTTACTGAACTGTACCCGCAGCTTGGAACAGGCGCTTCTTTTAAATTGTTTGAATTTGACGTTTTTAATTTATAGCTGAGGCGTTAGTGGGTCAAATAGCAATATTGCAATATTACGTAACTGATTTCAATAATGCGAGAAAGTATATGCTGTTGTAATACCTCCAGTTTACATTTACATTCCAATGAAATATATATAATAATTAACTCATTACTGAATATTTTCTTTAAAAAATGTTCTTTATATAATAGAAATTAATAATCTAAAATAAATAGGCTGAATAGTGCCCCACAAAATACTCTGTTTTAGTGAAAAATTCTACCACAATCGGAATAATCTGTAAAAAACAGGGGAATGGATTGTTATATCATGAAAAAACCAGATTAGAGTGTAAAAGGTAGTTATTTTGAAATCACGAATACGCATTACAATGTTATTTATATAGGTGAAAGACGTGTCAGAAAGCAGTAGAATAATTGGAGAAAATTCACTCCGAAATACAGCTATAACAACTGAAATGCAATAAAATAAGTGACTGAAAAAAAATTAATGAGGAATGGGATATTGTAGTAATCAAAAGAATACAATTTAAAATTTGTTAAACTGAAGGAATCGATGATAATTTTGATTACATTATGAGTGGTAAAACAATAAAATTATGTTTTGCATAACACTGCTGAATAAATTAAATATAAAATTATAAAAAAACTCTCAAACAATTTTATTTGCAAAACAGAACTCATAACACGTGACGAATTATTCTCAATCGTGTAAAAGCTAAAACCAGGAAAGCCATTTCAATAGAAAGAAGCCTCATCAATCAAAAGTCAGGGGATAGAATGCCTTGTATTTAAAATCGACTGTACTCGAAATTATCATCCCCAGTTCAAGAAAAAATGTGTTAAATAATTGCGAAATATTATTGAAGTGACTGGTTGTAGTTTAAAATAACAATTACTATCTCATCCGATTATTTACATGGAATAAAAAACATTCAACTGATATTACCGGAGCTTTCTCAGGCGAGAATGCTCTGGTTTGCTGAAAATGCTGAAAATGAGTTGAAACTGAAGCACGGCTGTAATCAGGCACTCAGAGAGCTGCAAGAGATACTTTGTGTCGTAGACTAATGAACAATGTTAAGCAAGATATGAAGCTAATGAATATCATTCAAAATGATGTGCACATGCTTCGGGACATAGTTAATGACTGCAAATAGTTTATATTTTCAATTTTCGTGGTATTTTTTAAAAAATACGTAAAATAGTATGAGAGATTTCAAGAAATTCTTTTTTGGAAAACACATAGTTTTAACAAGGTTACACATTGATTTATGGGTACTTGTACTAATTTATGAGCCAATTAAACGTATTTCGTTAACATACTGTTTCTGAAACGTATTAAAATGTACACATACATTTACTTTAGACCTTCGAATCAATACCTTACGTATCAATGTCTCCAGAAAAAAAAAACGTTTCAGCACTACATTACCCTCAACCATATCCCGCTATGCCTCAACATTCCTCCTATTTTATGAGTGCCTAGAACGAAACCTCACGGGATTTCAAGACTTCTGTCCATTTTAATGAAACACTTCATGAAATGTGCTGAATTCTTCTGAAACATGAAATGAACATTAAATGAACATGTAATCAAGCTCTCATAATTTGCTGGTAGGTCTGTTTCGTTCATGTCGCCCTTCACGCCAATGGTACCGGTCTCAATGAATGGGAGATCTAATTTGGGTGATTTTCCTCGGATTTAAAATGTTTTTAAATTACTGACAGACATTATAATGAAGCGTGCATTATTATGTGATTATTTATTTTTATTTATGTTTATTTGTTAAAAACTATTAACATGTGCAAACAACTCAAGAAGATTACAAGCTTTTTACTTATTAGTGTTAGCAGCTCTTACAATTTTCTATTGGCAATGAAAAGCAAAGAGAGCATATTATTAAGCACGAGCAATTTTTGTTTATTTACACAATAAAATTTAATTGCACAATCTTTCGAATATTATTTATATGTACATCACTATTTGCAAAAATTCGCTTTGACTTTTGGTTTGGTAGCCCTCCTTATACGACACTGCGCATGCAAAACTGAAATTTTATACCAACTATATAATTTATTTGTTTTGTTACCATAATCTGATTGTTTTCCAAAACATTAAGAAACATTCTGAGATTATAAGAAAAAAATATTTCACACGCGACTGAAAATCGGCCCAAATAGTATGATTGGGAGGAAACTAGTATCAGGAATTCAGAAGTATACTACAGGTTAACTCTGAGTCTTGTTCTCTTATCTTTTATGTGTGACGTCTTCTAGTGACGTGTGCATGACGTACATACTCAGTACTTCATATTCTCAATTGCGGAATGGATTTTTCAGAATTACCGTCGGAGTAAGTTGTTCGCAAAATTATCCAAAAAATACTCTTATGGATTTGTTATGTTAATGGATTTTAAAATCAAGATGTTTTACCATGGCATTAGCTGAATGGAAAGTATGGCGTTCATTAACAGTGAGTTATATGAAAAAATATTTTCATTCTAAACCATCCAT